CTGCCCAGCAGAGAGGCATCGTGCTCACCGGCAAGCTGGAACCGTGCACGGACTGCATGAGGGCGAAGGGCAGGCGAGGGTCGGTGCCACGGGGGCCGGGAGCGCGGGCGTCTTAGCCCCTCGGGCCTGTTCACCTGGACCTGTGTGGACCGCTGGTGCCTTCCCTGGGCGGCAACCTCTACCTGTTCGTCGCCGTGGACAGCGCCTCGCGGTGGAACAAGGTCTACGGTCTCCGGCGGAAGTCCGACGCGCTGGCGGCAACGAAAAGGCTGCTGGCGGACGTGGGGCGGTACGACCTCGGACGAATCGAATGTTTCCGCGTCGACAACGGCACAGAGTGGACCCGCGGCGATTTCCGGCGCTTCTGCGACGACAACGGCATCGGCGTCGAGTTCACCCCGCCTGGCGTTCCGCAGTACAACGGCGTCGTCGAGAGCGCCATCTGGCGCATCATGAAGGCCGGCATGGCCGCTCGCCGCAGCGCTGGCCGTGTGTTCAACGTCGACTTCGCCTCCATCCCCGGCCTCGACGAGCGCGGTGACCGTCTTTGGATGGAATCGGCGAAGTGGGCCGCCGACGCTCTCAACCAGTCGGCGACCAAGGACAACCCCGGGTGGCGCTCGCCGCACGAGATGTTCACCGGCGAGCAGGGGCCTTTCCGCGTGCTGCCGTTCATCCAGCCCGGCTTCATGCATGAGGATCGCCGCACCAAGCTCGACGACCAGGCCACCCTCTGCTACTACCTGAACGGCGGCGACAACCACCCGAGCAGCACCGTCAAGGTCCTCAAGGCGTCCACCGGCCGCGTCGTCTACACCAACAACGTGTCGTGGGCGACGTCGGCGCCAGCCGGCGAAGGGGGTTCCGCTGGTATCACCGCTGCGCCGACACCCCCTCCGTTCACGCCGTCGGTCGTCTCGATCATTTTCGGCCCAGCACCGCCGCCTTCGACCGCCGCACCACCGCCGCCAGCGCCCACGCCGTCACCCGCTCCCGCTCCCGCTGCCGCTTCGCCCCCTGCCGCTGCCGCAACGCCGCCGCCAGCGACCACGCCGCTGCCCGCTCCCACGCCTTCACAGCTGCCCTCTGCTACTTCGCCGTCACCGTCGGCGACCCCCGATCCATACCAGCCGCCGTCGCCGCCGGACCCCGCGATGCCCCCGCTTACGGCTCACGCCATGCGGCAGCTTCGCCCGGGTACAAAGGCCGAGGGTATGACAGACCCCGGCTGCCAAGCCGCACGAGATCGGGCACAAGGCACAGCACAGGACTGATCTCGATGCTGGAGGCTCGGAGCGCGGTGGATGAGGAGCGCAGGAAGCCGGGGGGAGCGGGGGCCGGAGAGCAGGGGGGAGCACTCGCAGCGGCGGACCCGTGGGCTGGAGGAGCGGGCTTTCCACTCGCATTTGCCACGCTCCTCGCCAACCGGGAATACATCGACGCCACGCTGCGAGACCAGCGCCCGCCGGAGGAACACCCTGACCTTCCGCTCTGCCAGGCCGGCGACTTTCGTGTTCCAAAGAGCTACAAAGAGGCCATGACGTCGGAGCACCGGCACCTGTGGAGCGACTCTATGCAAACGGAGTTTTATTGCTTGTTGGAAGCGGGGATTTCTACTCCGGCGAAGTAGCAATTAGTGGAGAACGCAATTTACGCTAAATGGGAATTCGATTGGAAGGAAGATGAGTTTGGATGGCCCACTAAGGTTAAGTCGAGACTTGTAGCGAGAGGTGACATGCAGAGAGAGTACATTGACTTCGGAGAGTTGTACGCACCTACCGTTTCTGTTTCGTGTGTTATGATGTTGGCTGCTTTGGCGTGCGAGTTAAACCTCAACTTGTGTCATTTCGATATTGAGCAAGCTTTTGTGCGTTCGGACTTGGAGGAAGGCGTGTACATGCGTTTGCCGCAGGGATGTGGGGCTCTATCTGGAATGATTGTAAAACTAGGCAACAGTCTGTATGGATTGAGACAGGCATTAAGGCAGTGGCATGCAATGCTGAAGAGGCGTTTGGTGGCGTTAGGTTATGAGCAGTGCATGGCCGGTGCTCGTGTGTTTCGTTTGATTGAGGATGAATGTGTTGTATTGATTTTGGTAGTACATGTAGATGAAATTTTTGCTGTGGGAGAGAGGGAGAGATGTGACAAGTTTGGCGCCGACCTTAACAAGTCCGTGCCAGTGAAGAACCTGGGAGATTTGAGATGGTATTGTGGGTGCTCTCACGAGAGGAAAAAGGAGACCGGTAGGTTGACGGTTTCTCAGCAGACTTTCATGGATGGGCTAGCAGCAGAGTATGGAGTAGTGAGAGGTAAGAGCGTTCCGATGTCTTCGGGGGTGAAGCTTTCTGAGAATGATGCGGATGAGGTGGCGACAGACCTTCCGTTTCGTGAACTAGTCGGATCTTTGATGTGGCTGGCGACTCAGACTAGGCCAGACATTGCGAATGCAGTAAGGGCAGTAGCTAGGAATTGCGCATCTCCGAAGCTGGTACACTGGAATACAGCGATGGATATTTTAGGGTATGCGAGGAGGACGAGTCACTTCGGTATTTCGTTTCAGAGAGGTACGGTAGAGGGTTTCAGTTTGCAGGGGTACGCTGATGCGGACTTTGCAAGCAAGGCAGCAGACCGTAGGTCGGTATCAGGGGGGATCGTCACGTGTGGAGGAGGCGCCGTGTCTTGGTTTTCCAGAACGCAGAAGTGTGTCACGCTTTCGAACACAGAAGCAGAGTACGTCGCGCTTGGTGACGGAGTGAAGGCGATCTTGTTTTTGAGGCAAGTTTGGCGTTTCATGTTGCCGCAGGTCGGCATGCCGTGCGTCCCAGTCTTCGAGGACAACCAGGGGGCGATTCAACTACCATTGCGCAGAACTCCATCTCAAACTCGAACTCGAAGCACATAGATGTAAGGCACCATTTTCTCAGGGAACTGGTAGAGAGGAAGGAAATTTCGGTGACCCACGTGCCGTCGCCATACCAGCGTGCAGTGTTTCTTACGAAGAGCTTGCCGAAGGACACTTTCGAGTCTCACCGTGATTTTGTGATGAATTTGGCATGAACATTTATTGTTTTTTTTATGGGTTGTGTTTTGGTTTTGCTTTCATTTTCCGCGCCAAGTATTCACTACGCGCAATGCAGCATTCATTCATGTTTCTTTGAATTGATTTTCTCTCTTATATTATTCTGGTCAAGTCTTCATGGCATATATTCTGGGAAAGACGTCTTTTGGTTGAGATATGGGGTGTTAGCGAAGTTTCAGTGAGAAACTGTTGCGAGCAGGGGGGATGTTAGATATACTCGCAGCAGTATCTGGTCGTGAGGATCCCAAGGGGATACGTGTTGGGAATATCGTGTGTTGTAGGGTACCATCGGTGCAGTCACGGGGACCCTTTTGGCGCGGTTGGAACGATGAGGCTTGCCTGCGTGTTGCGCACTTCTTTCTTCCTTCTCTCCTTCCACCGCTGCCGCCGTCTATCTCCAATCAAGTTTCCTTCTCCCACTCTCTCTCCACCTCTCTCTCAATCTCTCACTCTCGGCCTAACACGGCCGCCTACCCAGTGCCCCAAGTAACGCCCAGGACGGGCTTGCTGCACCCCGCGTATCAGATTTCGATATTGATTTTTGGCACATCGTTCATATACGGCCTAAATCTTGCTCTGTCATGTCCGGTTATCAAGTGTAGTAAGTGTGAATGCCACCTCAGACTGTTGTAGATTGTGACGTCAGATGACCTGTCGGAGATCTACCTTCGGGGTGTTACCACAGATAGAGTCAGTGCAGGTTGGATGCTGAACCTTGCTTCAACACAAGGTTGATCCCC